ACCCCTGTCTCCCATCTTATAATTGCTAATTTCTTATGAACCTTTTCAGACATCTTTGCACGTTTCCACATTTATGTACTCATATGTGTATGTCATTTGTTTCTTTTTAAACAGTAGCGCACAATTTGCCCTACTCTACACCTTGCTGTCTGTTAACATTATACCTTAGAGATAGTTCAATATCTACATGCCTGGATCTCACTCCTTAATGGTTGTACAGTATCCCGCTAGATGGAAGTACCGTAATTATTCAGCCGTGGGACTTAGATTTTTTTCCAGCCTCTTACTCTTCATTCTTTCCTAAAGTTTGTACTGATGCCCAAGATGTGCCAGGCACTGTTCTAGGGATGGGGAGCAGAAAATAAGATATTTGAGGAATTTACAATCCACATACAGAGAGGAACATTCTCATACATCTGTGTACATGTGTGAATGTATCCTTTCTATAAACTATAGAGGTAGAATTGCTGAGTGAAAAGGTACATGCATTGCTAATTTTGATAGATATTGCAAATAGCCCAAGAAAATGTTGTATCAATTTCCTCTCACTCTCTGTTCTGAATATTTTCATGTGATTAAAAGTCACTATAATTTTTTATATTTCTTAAACTAAATTCTCCATATAAAAATGCTCACAATCACTTGAGCAATGGCTAAGGAACTAGGAAACATGACATATGGGACACTCTTGGTTGGGGGGGGCCAGACCCTGCTGACTAAGACTTTCCTCCCTGCCTCCTGCAATGCCAAGAAGGAAACACGGGGGTGGGAGGTGGTACATGTGACCCAAGAGGACAGGCCCTTTGGAGAACATGGTGTGCAGTTAACAGAATCGCCCATGCACACGCTATCTGACAAGGAGGAATACACACACACACACACACACACACACACACACACACACTGTGTAGGAACTGAGAAAAAAAATATTAGTGATACCTATGACCTAGGCCTGATTTCCTTAGTATTTAAAGAACTTCTACAAATCAATTAGAACTCCAACAACCCCACAGACAAATGGACAAAGGACACAGTTCTCAATGAAGGAAGTGTTCTCCTGTGTTCCAGAAAATCTGTTAATAAAATGAATGCTGTTAATTAAAAACTTTTAAAATGTGTGTTTCTGATCAACATCAATCTGCCCCAAGTGTAGTCTTTACCACTATTAAAAACAGCTGGCCTCAGAAGAGTCCTCTGCACTCAGCCAGCCACACTTGTTCCCCTGGCCCTTTCCGTGTCTGTCTTTCTTCCTGTGTAAGACTTGCTGTGACTCACCATCTCATAAGCACTGATGCTGCCATCAGCCATTCCCACCCTCCCCTCCCGGCCTCGGTGACAGATTCCCACTTGCCTGCTTCTATCCACTCTCCCTGCAGGGACCCCATGGGGGCTCTGCCCAGATCCCCAGGATCCCTTTCCCTGATTCTGCCCCTACCACTAAGTATGCTTTTGCTTCCAATCTGAGGTACCCACGACACTTCTCAGGAGGGCTGTCCTGTACGACTGCCCCTTTGTACCCAGATAGAGAGCCTGAGTGCCTGGATTATGTTAACCAGGGTGGCCCCTAGCCAATGACCCACAGGCATAGATATGGAAGCCCAGAACCCCTGCGGGGGGAGGTATTCATATTCCAGAGCTCCTCTGCTGACCAGGTGAAGTTACCCTTCTTGTAACTTTGTCTGAGATCCTTGCTTGCTACCCTTTTTCTAGGTCCTTACTGGTTTCTCCTGGGAGTGTTTCCTTCATAAACCACTCTCACATAATCCTTGGGTGTCCCAGCAGCAGGCTCTAAAGGCAATGATGTAAAACAAAGTCTTCTTCCTTAGTAACAAAAGCCTGCTTTCTTTTTTTTATTCTGGCATGCAACTTCTCCAAAAAAAAAGACTACATTTCCCAGCCTCCTTTTCAACTAAGGCTATGACTAAGTTCTTAACAATGAGATATAAGCAGAAGTGCCCTATAGGACTCCTCAGAAGCCTGTGAAAGGGCACTCCTGCTGATGGCTAGAGCTTGTCCTGTACTCTGAGGATGGGGGCCACACCCTCAGATGTGGGAGCAAAGATCTGGAAAAACCCTGGGCCCCTAACAATGTCATGGACCTGCCAAAACTAACCACAGATTGCCTACAACTTCTTTTACGTGAGACAAGTTTCTCTCCTGTTTAAGCCAATGTCATTTGTTTTCTTCGTCCTATGTGGCCAAGCCTAAATCCTAACTTATAGACCAGACCACTGTGATAGAGGCTGAAAAAAGGCAGATGTGAGCTTCCCTGGTGGCGCAGTGGTTGAGGGTCCGCCTGCCGATGCAGGGGACACGGGTTCGTGCCCTGGTCTGGGAAGATCCCACATGCCGTGGAGTGGCTGGGCCCGTGAGCCATGGCCGCTGAGCCTGCGCGTCCGGAGCTTGTGCTCCGCAGCGGGAGAGGCCACAACAGTGAGAGGCCTGCATACCGCAAAAAAAAAAAAAAAAAAAAGCAGATGCTTGCTTTTCCAGCCTCCCTTGCAGCTAGGGTTTGCTAGTGTGACCCAGTTCTGGCCAACGAGATGTATGGGAAGGTTGGGTGGGGGGAAGAGTTTCCAGAAAAAAAAATTTTCTTCTCTGATGAAAAAACAAAACAAAAACCAAAACAGGTGCATGATGTAGAGCTCTCTTGCTACCCCGGCAACCTACTCTTTGCTACCTGCCTTTGGTTGCAGCATGTGACGATGTGGTGTCTGGAGCTGTGACAGCCATTCTAAAATTATGGAACTATTGGTTAGTCTATGGACAAAAAGCCAAACAGCTGAGGAGAGCTGTGTAGAAGGATGGAGAGAGCCTGAACCCTTCAAGCCATCCCCGAGACCTCCCACTCCACACCACTGCAGAGTCCACAACGTTAATCAGTTTTCCTGTTGTTTGCAGCTGAAAGCAGCCCAACACCCACTGGGGCTGAAGCACTGAAGTAGAGTAAGGAATACTTAGTCTTTATAAGGCCTAGAGGTGATAATTCTCAAGAAACCTACTACTATTACCCCTTGGAGGGGAAGATGACTGAGTTCTGGGAAGATAATTATCTGCGTTAGACTGCCTCTGAAGGCAAGAAACAGAACCTCCAGCTTCAAGGAACATAATAAATAAGCTCCAGGGTCAGCTGATCTGGGTGCTCAACAATGTCATCAGGAACCCAGTCTCCTCCCCTCTCTCTGCTCAGCCATTCCTCAGATGGGCTTCATCCCCAGGCTGTTAGCAAGATGGGGGCATACGGAGTCTGCCTGCCGGTGCAGGGGACGCGGGTTCGTGCCCCGGTCCAGGAAGGTCCCACATGCCGCAGAGCGGCTGGGCCTGTGAGCCATGGCCGCTGAGCCTGCGCGTCCAGAGCCTGTGCTCCGCAACGGGAGAGGCCACAACAGTGAGAGGCCTGCATACCGCAAAAAAAAAAAAAAAAAGATAGGGGCATACTTCCACGCGGCACACCCAGACACAACAAGGGTCTACCAAGTCCTGCATGCTCTGCCCCCTCTCCATTATCCCTCAGACTTCGCATCCTGATACTTTCCTCCTTGCCCTCTCCCTCCAGCTGCATTTGCTTGCTCTTCTTCAAACATGCCGGTGGACTCCTGCCTCAGGACCTCTGCACTCGCTGTTCCCTCCACCTACAGTGCTCTTCCCATACATGTCCATCTGGCTCCCTCATCTCCTTCAGGTCCTAAGTATCACCTTCCCAGTGAGGCCTGCCTTGACCACACTATTTAAAATTACAACCAACTCCCCATCCCCTTTCAGGCTTAATTTTTCTCCAGCATGTAACTGCATCCATCATTCCTTTGCCTCTCTGATTGTCTGGGCTCCCCTTGCCCAAAAGGTGTGCTCCAGGAGTACGGAGATGCTTATCTGATTGCCCTCTCTTCACTTCTCCCAGGGCCTAGCAGAGTATGTGTTCCATAAATTTCTGTAGAAGAAAAGACAGACAAGAGATGGACAACATCCAGAGGGAGAAGTGGGGGAGGGAGGATGTTTTCAGAGATGGTGACCCCATCGCATCACCCCCTCCCCAGGCTTCCCCCGGCATATCTCATCCAGAATCGCACATGTGGGGCCTCAACCAGTCACTGGCAAGGAGAAGGGACTTCCTTTAGCTCCACAGTGGGGCTGGGGTCAGCGGGTGTTGGGGAGAGGTGGACCCCTGAACAAAATAAAGAGAGGTAGGAAAAAGGATGAGGGGAGTGCATCTACTTCCTGGTTCTCCTGGGCTTTCTCTCTGTGGCCTAAAAACAATGGCCATCTCATCCCTTCACTGCCAAGCGTCTAAAAAGAGTCGTCAACCCTCACTGCTTCCACTGCCCTACAGCCCAATCCATGCCTCACTTCCCTGGAATCTGGCTTCCACGCCCATCTGTGCCGCACCAGGGTTATCAATGTTTCTAAGTCCACTGGGGCCTCTGGGGCCTTATCTGGCTCTGCCCTGCTGGCCACGGCAGCCTCCTCTCCAGCCCCAGTTCTCTGGCAACCTGTCCCACTTCCAAGGTCATTGTGCTATAAGGACCCCCAACAACGCCGGCTGCGTCCCGCCCCCTTCTCCACCTGTTTCCAATTTCATCTTCTGGGAAATGAGCTCCAAGCCTTGGAGAACTGAAGCAGGTTTGCTCTAAAACCCTAAGGGCTTCGACATCACAGCAGCCTCCGCGGAGAGAAACAAGGTCCCCAAGCTGGGCTGGGGGCGCGGGGTGGCGCCAACCCGGCCGCTCTCCCTTGGGGGAGGAGCGTCCACTGCTCCCCTCGTCCCCCTGCCCGCGCGGCCCCAGCCAGATACCCGGGCCCCGCGCCGCGAAGGCGCTGCCGCGTCCGCCGCGTAAGGAGACGGGGCATTGGGAGCCCAAGCGTAGTGGGGCGGGGCGGAGGGGCCCAGGGGCTGCGGGAAGCGCCGAGAGGGTGCGGCCGAGCGGGACCCGGACTCCTTCCAGCCGCCGCCCCGGGGGCGGAGGGGAGGGGCCCGCGCGGCCTTATTGACTCGAGCGCCGGCGCAGCCCGCTCGAAGCCCGACCCGTCGAGCGTCGCGCCAGCTCGCGCCCATGCAGCTCCGCCGGCAACCGCTTCCCGCGCCACGGCCGGGGGACCCGTACCCCGCCGCCCCGCTGCTCGCGCTGCTCCTGCTGCTCGCCCTCCAGGGGGCGGCGGCGGCGCCCGCGGGGTCCGGGGAGCCCGAGGACTCCGGGTGGCGTCAGGACGCGGAGCCCCCGCGCGGGCTCCTGTCGCAGGCGGCGCGCGCGGCGCTCCACTTCTTCAACTTCCGCGCGAGCTCGCCCAGCGCCCTTCGAGTGCTGGCTGAGGTGCAGGAGGGCCGCGCGTGGGTGAGTACCAGAGCGACACAGTGGGCGCGCGCGGGGACAGGCCGCGAGCCGCGTGGGTGGTGACGCCTGGGTACGCGCGCCTGTGCGCCCGGCGGCGGATCCGCGAGGGAGACTGTGATGCGCCAGGCCCCTGCTGGGATCCCGGCTCGCGCCTCGGCGCTGGGAATTGTTTAGGCGTGGAAAGGCTAGTCAGTGCGCGGAGTCAGTAGAAAGCTGGCTCGTTCTTTCTGGCATTTACGAGGCCATAAAGATTTTTTACAGGGCAGCTCCCATACCTGGGAAAGAGGTGTATGGGGAAACTGAGGAGCAGGCCCAAAAGGCAAGGCTTGATCTTTTCTGCGACTACCCAGAGTTGGTTGCTATGGGGTGGTCACGGAGCATTAGTTCAGGGCGGAATTTCCAAAATCTGAGCCAGTTTCCAGGCCGAACCGCTGACGTTCCCTGGTTAATTGCAGGCCATCCTGCAAGGGCTTCAGGATAATATTGCAATTTACGCGTTGGCCTGGGCAAGAACCTTCGTAATCCTGGCGTCTGCTTTAATCTAACGGGAGTGAGTGAACCAGGGCTGTTTTCTTTGTGAACGGAGTGAATAAGAACGTGGCAGCTCGTTCGGTTGCTGATTTCAAGGCACTGGCTGTAGGTACCATTTTGTGCCTGTGGAGCTACGTTGCTTTCTTCATCAAGTAGAAGATTACGAAAGTTACAGAACTACACTTAGCCTGTCCCAAAAGTGACGATGCTTTTTCCAGTAATCCTCCAATATTCCACGAAGCCTGTAGACTCAGCCTTAAGGAATCTAGAGTTTAGTAAATAGTGTAAATAGAATTTTAAAGAGTGGCTGTAGGATTTTTCTTTAAGACTGTTCTAGACGTGGTGTTAAGGGTGTGAGAAAGCCATTTGGAAGTTCGGCCTTGGTTCTTCAAAGACTTAACCCTACACCCAACTTGTCTAGATTTATTGAATGGTGAAATAAAATTTTTCCTAAAAAAAGGCAACCTGTGCTTGTCACCTGTTCTAACAGATCTTTGCTGTGTCAGGGAGGAAAAAGTTCAGTTTACCAGCCCAACAGAGAAGTGAGGGAACAGAGCTTGAGAACTTTCTATCAAAGTAAGTGAGTCGCCACCTCCCAGAGCCCAAAGAGGGGCCCCCCTGAATATTTCCTCCCTGGTTATCAGTGGCAAGGATTCCCTACAGAACACCAAGCTCCGATTTCTAAAGTGCACCAGGAATTTTTCAGGTTCTAGGAATTTTTTTTTCTTCCTTCTAAGACCATAAAAATAATTAAATAATAAAATAATTTGCATTTTCATGCATTTAGTTAACCCCTTATTGAAAAAATAAAATACTTGGCACTTTTCATAAAATGAACTAAATCCAAGTGAGTTAAGAAAAACTTCCTGTCTTATCCACAGAGAGCTCAGTTACTGTTTTCGCCTGTAATAATATAATCCTGAATTTCAAAGGGATCTCCTTTTTTGGCCTAAAAAAGCTGGGAGGGATAATCAGTAAATTAGAGACAGGTATGCAGAAGAGGGATGAGGAGTTAAGAAGTAGAAGAATCCAGGACATTGACCCTAAGAAAAGGTACCTTCCTCGATCATCTGGTTTACCTTTACATTTCTTCCCAAAGTGATTATAAATGTTTTAACATCAAGGAGCCAAGGAAGAGAACTTAGTGATTTTCAGGGCCAAGACTCTAGAGACTAAAGTGGTTTCAGTTTCTCCCTGGAATTCAGTGAAATTGCTTGATTGATTGAAACTGCTTGAATGAGGAGAACAGGCACCACCTGCAAGGAGCCTTCAATGCAAGGAGTTTCTGCTTCAATTACAAGAGCAGTCGTAGCATTGACAAGAGGTGGAAAATGATAGACCCTCAAAACTCTTTATCCAATCAGTGCATTATTAGAGTGAGCACTGAGTTGCTGGACAATATCTGTCATTCCTCTAGGACTGACCCGGGGTTAGCAGGTGGCTGGGTGGGCGAGAGAAGTGTAGCTGATAGCATCCTTCTCCATCCTCGGGGTCAGTGCATCCCTTTGTATTACAGATGAGAGGCTGGGACCAAGTCAGCGTTTTTCAAACTAATGGCACACTATTGGGTTATGAAATTTATTTATTGGTTGCAGTTTTTTTTTGTTTGTTTTGTTTTAAATGAAATAGTTTGGAATACAAACTGTTTAGAGTGCATTGCAGAAGACAGGGTAAGTAGTGCCTCAAAATGTTGCAAACATATATGTATGAACTGGGTCATTATGAAGCATGCAGTTCTTGCTATGTGTTTCAGCTGAAAAAATTTTGAAAGCCAGTGAACCAAATGATTCTTAAGACCTCTTAACAGCTCTGAAATTCCTTGATTCTAAGTGATGTTTCGGTTCTGCAACAAACCCTCATTTTAGGAACACTGTTGCCCTCTAGTGGTAAAATGCAGTAATAGCTGTGGTAGTAAATGCAAGGAAGTATTGAGAAGAAATCAGAGCTACCTAGCGAGCTTGCGAGCATTCTGTTTTGTTTAGTTTACTAATTGTAAGGAGAGATCACAGACCATGACTTGTGTTCCCTCATTGCCCTTGTCTGATGACATCTCTTTCCTGACCATACACTACCTTTCCACGACCAGGAGGCTCCTATTTTTCTGATGCCTTAGGACCCAGAGCATGGAGGGGTGGTGTTGAGAGCTCCTATGCTACCCAGGGTATCCTAGATCAGCCCTGCTCCCGACGATGTGGGGCTGTCTCTTACACTGAGACAACTATCCTCTGGCCAATCGTAAGTCCTACGACAACTGCCCCTGCCCCAAGCAGCTGGTGAGAGGCCAGCCCTTCCCTGGCATTTAGAGAGACTGGCGAGATCTTTATGTGCACAAACTTCAGGAGAAAGGCAACCCATTTGAAATCAGCCCTTGCTTAGGGATTGCTCACAAGGACCAGGCCAGGACTAGTAGTTGGAAACATATCAATAATTGAAACAATTGACCAAAGGTGGGGCAGGAGGGACTTACGCCCAAACCTTAACTGCTTCAATTTAAATTAAAATCAGTAAATATAAAACTATCATCTGTCTTTCAATTTAAATTAAAATCAGTAAATATAAAACTATCATCTGTCTTTTTGTGTAGGGCGAAGGCCATTAATTGGCACTCCTTGCAGTCTTTCTAGCAAGAAGACACACCCATAATGGGCATCTGTGATTTCCATTTTTGTTTACTTACAGTGGAGGGAGCACTTGCAAAGAATACAGTTCACGATCCTCTCCTTTCACTTTTTTTTTTGACTTTTCTTGCCTAACTATGACTCACCAGCAAGAGTTTTAGAGACTTGATTTCATCAATTCTTTCTACTGCATTTAACTTGGATTTTGTGGACATGACATCTTTTTTTTGTGCCCCCTCTTCACCAGAACATTTAATTATGCAGTTAGGTAATGAGTACACCTGGCATAGGTAAGTTTGGGAGCAAAACAGCTGACCTCTGGTGAGAATCGGGCCGCCCCAGCGCTGGTGGGCTGGGCTGCTGCCCCCCGCCCCTCCGCCCCCCGCGCGTGTCTGAAGGCGGAACAGAGCCGGTCTGATGAGCCACAAGGCAGCTGGGTGAGCGCCTAGTCTACTAAGAAAAAGCTTCTTCTTTTATCCCTTTTCAATCTATGAAGCACTTTAATGCAACACAATTCATCTAATTACTGCTCTCCTTGAAGGCTTCTCTCCATTAATGTCAATAATTTAGAGGTGATGGTTCACAAGAATAGGAAAGCGATACATCAAGCCGACCATAGAAATGAAAACTGGAGACTGAAGAAGGCCGCAATGAATACGGAGGGGAAAGATAAGTAATAAAACCCTTAAGTGAAAGAATCTCTGCTTTCACGCTAGCAAGGCTCCTAAGTGCTTTTACAGCCCTCATGAAAGAACAGTAGGGGGTGGCTGTCGGCAGGATGCAGGTGGCGCTCCTCAGCGCCCTCTGCCGTGAGGATGAAACATAACAATCCTGAAAGCACAGAACCGAGGCTCACGCCCGCCCTCCTTTCCGGGCACTGCCACTGATGAAATGGCACAGGTGCCCCCAATGGCTCCGCTCACCTCCCACCGCGGCGCCCACCTGATCTGCAGGCTCTGATTGCAGAGTCTGGGTCCAGCATTAGGTGGGAAAGGCCACTGGCCCTGAGGGTATACTTAGGCCTTGGCCTTCCTGGCCCACGTCCCTCAGTCGCTCAAGCCAGCTGCACGTGGATGAGCTAACGCTTTTAACCAGCTTGTAAGAAGTTGTTTTTGTGTTTTTTTTTTTTGTTTTTTTTTTTGTTTTTTTTTGTTTTTGTTTTCTTTACGTGGGCCTCTCACTGTTGTGGCCTCTCCCGTTGCGGAGCACAGGCTCTGGACGTGCAGGCTCAGCGGCCATGGCTCAAGGGGCCAGCCGCTCCGCGGCATGTGGGATCTTCCCGGACCGGGGCACGAACCCGTGTCCCCTGCATCGGCAGGTGGACTCTCAACCACTGCGCCACCAGGGAAGCCCAGAAGTTGTTTTTGAACAGCAAACTTTTTTTTTTTTTTTTTTACCAACCCACAGCATTTCCACTTGTCTTGCCACACGGGGAGTCATGGCCAAGGGTGCGTGTGATCGTGGAATGTTAGTAGTGATCCCAAATAAATTAGGCCACCGTTGGTGGGTTGTGAATTTAGCCGTCAAGAGTGTGGCCTGGCTGCACGCTCTTCCTTGAACGGCCTCAGTGGTTCTGCTGCAGACGGAATGTCAATAGCCCTAGAATGACTAATCTTAATGATTAGGAATGTTAAATGTTAAATGTTAAAAGGAATGTTAAATCCACACACATATACACACACACACAGTCTCCCAGATCCAACCTGACCCTTGATCTCAATTCATCAGCATGAATCATCCTAGAGATTTAGTCACACTTTTGCAGCCGTGGTATTTATTTGCCTTTGTGACGGCCCCTCAGCTGAAGAGGTTTGCCCAGAGCTGGTCCCACAGTAGCCGTAGCAGTTCCCC